ATTTCTCTGTGCTACCTTCTTCCTAGCTGTCCTAATCACCTGTAGTCAGATGAGTGTGGTAGACATGACTTTAGTAGAAGACAATACTAATTTAGAAAAGTTCAGCTGTTGTATCAGAGGATCTTGAGGATCTCTGCCCAGGCAAAGTAAGTGAAACTCTGTTTCAAAAATGAAAGCAAAGCCGGGTACCAGTGGCTAGCTACTCAGGAGGCTGAGATTTGAGGATTGCAGTTCAAAGCCAGCCCAGGGCAGGAAAGTCTGTGAGACTCTTATTTCCAATTAACCACCAGAAAACTGGAAGTAGTGCTATGTCTCAAGTGGTAGAGCACTTGCCTTGAGCTGAAGAGCTCAGGGACAGCACCCAGGCCCAGAGTTTAAGCCTCAGGACCAACAAAACAACAAACAAACAAACCAAAAACTAGCCAGGAACTGGTGACTCACGTTTGTGATCCTAGCTACTCAGGAGGCTGAGAACTGAGTAGTGCAGTTTAAAGCCAGCCCAGGCAAAATGTCCCTGAGACTTACCTCCAATTAACTACCAGAAAACCTGGAGGGGAGCTGTAGCTCAAAGTGGTAGAGCACTAGCCTTGAGTGAAAGAGCTCAGGGAGAGTACCCAGACCCCAAGTTCAAGCCCCATCTCACACACACACACACACACACACACACAAACACACACACACACACACACACACACACGTAAATGCAAATCCAAAACAAAAGGGCGGAGACATAGCTCAAGTGGAGGCCTTGGGTATAATTCCCAGTATCATGAAAAAGAAATTGAGCCTTTTGAATTAAAATAGAATTATGTCTGCATGGGGGTGGTTTTAGGTGAAAGAATGGTTTACATGTTCTTTTTGAATTCCTTACAGCTTATGAACTTAAAATAGTGCCATTCATATTCCTTATACTTTATACCCAAAGAGAAAATAACTGTGAATGTGATAGTATCTGTGTTGTTTTTTTAACTAAAACAGATGTGAAAAGAGAGAAATTGCACATTAATTTTCACAGTTGGTTCATTCATTATTCAATGGACATTTGTTAAATGTGTCCAAGTGCTATATGAAAGCTTAGACACTGATCTCGCATCTAAAAGGAATAGTCCCTGGGCTGAAGTGGCTTAAGTGTTCCTGGAGAGAGATAGATGAGTAAATTACTGGTGGCACGAAGGTCAGCCACTTCAGATGAGGGGTGCTGTTCAAGAGCACATAGAGGAGTAGGTATTACTTAATTTACTCCGAGTTAGCCAGATGGAAGTGCATTCCAACCAAGAGGACGTGATGTGGAAAAGCACCGAGGCTTTGAGGGATAGAAGAACATCAACTGGAGGTCCTAATCCTCAAGGCCTTCAGAAGAAGGTGGAACTTCTTTTTAAATAAATGCAAAGCCTTTGAAGGGTTATTAAAGAAAAGAATTAGAGCCATTTTGTACTTTAGAAAGATGACTTTAGCAGTAATGTAAATCATTTGGAAAAGTTTAAACAAGATCAGGATTTTTTGCTTTAGGATCCTATTGGAAAAGAGCTGTGCTCCTGCTTAGCTTTTTTGCTCACAGCTGCTATTATTTTTTCACCACTTCAACCACATCTCCATTTCTGGCTTGGTGGTGGTGGTGGTTAGTTGAAAAAGTCTCAAGGGTTTGTCTAACCAGACTGGCTTCGAACCTTGCTTTTCAGATCTCAGTCTCCTGAGTAGCTAGGATTAAGAGTGTAAGTTACCAGCACTTGCTTTATTTTATTTTATTTTATTTTTGCAATGCTAGAAATTGAACCTGTGCTCTGACCATTGAGCCACATTCTGAGCCTCATTTTTGTTCTTAATGTGTTGTCAGATAGTGCATGTTGGCTCTTCAGAAGAAAACCCAGTGCTGTCATGAACTCATTTAGAGGCCTAAACCAGCATACAGGTCATGTTATCTATGTACCCTTATTAATTTTCATTCATTCACTCACCATAGACTGTGGATTCTTAATGAACAGGCAGAAAGGAATTTCGTTTTATGTCATATATATTTCTGTATTTTCTCTCTTTATTGCTCTTGCCCTCCCTTTTCCCCTTTATTCATTTCCTCTCACTCTTCATTAGTTTTTATACAATCTTCCTTACATTTTTGTATTTTTAAGACAAGCTGTTTACTGATTGGTTAGTTGATTGTGGGACTGGGAATCATACCCGGGTTTAGGACATGCTAGGCAAGTTCTCTACCACTGGGCTCCATCCTTACCCCTATAAATACAATTAGAATAACAAATATCAGCCAGCTGTTGGTGGCTCATTTGTGTAATCCTAGCTACTTACAAGTCTGAAATCTGAGGCTCACAGTTCACAGCCAGCCTGGGCAGACAAACTTAAGGGATTTTTTTTATCTCCAATTAATCACTAGAAAGCCAGAAGCCAGAGCTTTGTGGTAGATTAGCTAAATTCTGCAACTCATAAGCATGTAAGTTAACTTTTTACGACCCTAAATATATTAACTCATTAAAAAATTCTTAACATAATAGTTCAGAGATTGTGAGGTTTAATTGTAAATATCCCATATAAATAACCCCTTTATAGACTGATTTCCCAATTTATTTCAGAAGACAACAAGCTACTGCTTTCTCATAAATGTAGCAAGTGGGGAAGAAAAGCTATTTTAAGCATATTTTCTATTTTTTAGCCTCAGTAGCACATTTATTATGACACTTTTGACATATGATAACACATTTAGCTTTATTCTTTAGTATTGTTCTATCTTAATGAAAGTGGTGCATGTTCATTATGATAATAAGTAATACTTGACAAAAATGGCAAAAATAAAACCTTACTAAAAAAGGCACAAAAGACTTGAACATACTTTTCTCCAAAAATGACATACCATGTCCAAGTGAGCACATGAGAAGATGCTCAACCTTTTTAACATTAAGGAAATTCAAATAAAGGGGAGAGGGAGGTGGGGACACGCGGAGGGGGGGAGGAGATGGGAAGGGATGGGAAGGGGAAACAAAGGAGGAGGCAACAATGCTTGATAAGAAATGTACTCATTATCTTGCCCATGTAATTGTAGCCCCTCTGTATGGTATTTTCACAATTAAAAAAAATTAAACTAAAAAAAAAAGGAAATACAAATAAAAACCACAATGGAACATTACTTCACATTCATGGAGATCCTGTCTTTTTTTTTTGGAAAATAGCTGGTGCCAGTGGCCCACAGCCTGTAAACTCTAGCTACTCAGGAAGCTGAGATCTGAGGATCATGATTTGAAGCTGGCCAAGCCAGGAAAGTCCATGAGACTATTATCTCCAATTAAACACCAAAAATTCAAAAGAGGAGCTGTGGTTCAAGCGATAGAATGTTAACTTTGAGCACAAAAAAAACAGTTTGAAGGCCTTCATATATAACACTGTAGTTGGGAGTTTATGGAACTGAATTGTACATTTAAAAAAAGGTTAAAATGGCAACTTTTGTGTGTTTCTCATGTTTCATCACAGCAAAATAGCAAAATGCAAAGAAGAGACCAACAAATTGCTTGAAACCCAACTTTCCAGAAACATCTGTGTATTGGTAGATCCTCGAATGCCTTGTTCTGTGCCTTAATCTCTTTGTTGTGAGACTTCAGTTATCTCCATCAAAAAGTCTAGATGATAAAGTAATCAGAGTCTGTGAACATGAGATGAGCATGGGCTATGGCTCCACACCCCATAAAGTGGCCTGTAGAAGAAGAAAGGAGCAAGCCAGTGCAGGCATAAAACTGAGCACTAAATAATCACATTGTTAAATGTATCTGTGATAAGCATAAGTGTTTTCTGCTTTATATTATTTGGTAGTATTATTGCTTCTATTTTGGTCTAATTTCAAATATACTTTTTTTCTTTTTTTTTTCAGGTAAGGAGTAGGTTTATATATTTCTAGATTTAGTGATAAAAGACTATTGGTAATGTTTGCTTTTATGTATGACCAGGATATGTTTTTAAAGAAAGGATGTGATGATACCATGCTTAATAAACTGGAGTAAATTGGGTAAAGTCTAGAAAGTTAAGGGGCACTTTGTTCCAGTTGGAAATCTGTCATTACCTGTCCTGTCACCCTAGATTCCCACTGTATTATTAAAGCAGAAATAGCAATTGGCTCTTTTGCATACATTAATAGTAAGTCAAAATTTGAATTAGAGTTGGAATCTCCAGTAAAAATAACCACAATGCAATTATTATGTCTTCCTGCTGCTACTCTTCAATTTTTAATGCATATTTTTAATTTAATAATTGTCAAGAATCCAGACATCATTAGAATGCTGAGTTCTAACATTTCTCTACCACTTAGTAGTCGTGGACAACTTGATCAATATAAGCTGCTGTATTGTGGTGGTGGTGATAGTGATATACTTACTCTGTTTTCAATCCTAGAACAAATATACATTGAACTTCTTTATCTCAAGGAGTTTATTTGGAGATAATATTCATGCATAGGAGTTCCTAGCAAAGCCATCTTAGCTTTCTCAGCTCTGGGAGAAATCCTAATAAAATTTCTAAACTGAAGTGTAAGAAGATTTCTTTGAGAACACCTGAAATGAGGCTTAAAAGACAAGATTTACAAAGGCCGAGGGAAGCCTGCAACTTATCTACATTCCATATGACAACCTCATTGTGACATAGTTATTGCGGAATGAAAATTTTATATTCTGATCAAACTGAAGCCTTTTTATGTTATGCTGCTGATTTAATATTATAGCTTATATGATTTTTGTGTCTTGGCCAGTTAAATGCTTCCTAAATATCCCATTCGATTTTGGGTTTAGTTTTACTGTGTATCTGACTGGCTTCTTAACTCTCTAGCCACCTGACTCACTTCCCTAGTACTGAGATTAAAGGTGTGTGTCACATTGCCCTCTGTGTGTGTGTGTGTGTGTGTGTATTGATTTTCTAATTCCTAATTTTCCCCCCTGTATATTTATGTTGGATTGTATGTCTGCTTTTAAATTTAAATTTTCCTGACTTCTGTTTTTCCTGATTTAACCCAGGTGTGATGTCTTTATTGAGACCTCTTCTTCTGGATGTGGTTCCTACAATTCAACAGACTGCAGCTTTGGCTCTCGGGAGACTGGCCAATTATAACGATGATTTAGCAGAAGCAGTTGTAAAGGGAGACATTCTTCCGCAGCTTGTCTATTCATTGGCAGAACAGAACGTAAGAATTCTTTAAAAAGAAAAAAAAGTAACGTGACTTTTTGGTTTTAGATTTTAAAAAAGTTTGGGCCCAGCTGCAAAGCCTGTAGGCATTAGAATGATTAGGATATAATACAACCTCAATTTCTCTGAACTGTGCATAATAATATCTTTAGAGTATTTTTGCTGCAGGGATGATTTGCCGATGAACAAGACAGCCTATTGAATGTTTTAAAGGGAAATCTGTAAGTTTTAAACAAAGTTATAGTATCTATCTTAAAGAAGATTGCAGGGCCTTGAGGCAAATAAACAGTTGCTTTCAGCAATCATTATATCCAGATGAACTGTGGTTAGTGAGGAGAGTGAGACAGCCTCGAAGCAAGGGGTAAAGAAACAGCCAAAAGGAGGGAATGTGTTCAATGGAAAGTTTGAGAAAGCATTTAGTATTAATAAACAAGCATGGTACAGGGCCTGGTGCCCTCACTTGGCTTTTTCCATCCAAAGCTGCTCTACCACTTGAGTCCACAGCTCCATTTCCAGCCCCCCCTTTTTTTGTTAATTGGAGATGGGTCTCTTGGACTTTTCTGCCTGCCTGGCTTTCACTGCCATCCTCAGATCTCAGTTTCCCGAGTAGCTAAAATTACAGGTGTGAGCCACAGGCATTGGGCAAATGCCAACTTTTTTAAGTACTCTGTAAAATGCCCCCAATGTTCTCTCTATCTAGTGCTAGTCTGTAGTTTATACAGTGCTCCCTGTTTGGTTTCTACAATTGCTATGGAAAGCTATTCTCTTCAGCTAGTTTTTCATAACGAAGGCATATGTCTTCCTTTATTTATGTATTAAAAAACATAATTTGAAAAACAGGCAAATCGATTGAATAGATATTTCTCTAAAGACTCTCTACAAATGGTCAGGAAGCATACAAAAAGTTAACGGCATTAGCCAGTAAGAAATGCATATAAAAACCACAATCTTAATTCATACCTACTTGGGTGGCCATAATAAAAAGTAAAACAAAACAAAACAAAAAACACTCAGAAAATCAGTGTTGGGGAAGATGTGGAGAAACCAGAATCCTCACATAGGGCTGGCAGGAATTTAAATGGTACAACTGCTGTGAAAACCGTTTGGCAGGCTGGCCAGCTGGCAGCAAACTACCTGGTGTTACCACCTGACTCTGCAGTTCACCTCCTAGTCGTGTACCCAGGAGGAATGAAACCCAGCTCAAACAAAAGTCCACAGAGATGTTCAGAGTGACAGCACTCACAATAGCCAAACGGTGGAAGCAGCCCAAGTCCACCACCAACAGATGAATGGATAAGCAAAATATTGTATGTTCATACAATGGACTATTATTCTGTCACAAAAAGGAGCAAAGTACTGGTGAATGCTACGACATGGCTGATTCTTAAAAATATGACAAGTCAAAGATGCTAGACACAAAAGGTTACCTATTGTATGAGCCCATGTATTTGAACCATTCTTAATATGCAAATCCACAGACACAGCAGGGGCTGAGGAAGAAGGTGGGTGTTTAGAGGATGGCTACTTAGTTTACTGGCGTTTCTTATTGGGATGATGGAAAGGTTTTGGAGCTAGAGAGTGGTGATAGTTGTGCACACTGCAAATATCCTAGATGCCATTGAATTGTACGTTTTACAATGACTATAGTGAAACATTTTATGATATATAAAATTTTAACCAGAATTTCAAAAAGTCTTCATTATGCAAAATATTGTATTCTTATTGACTCGAGTGTCATCTACTAATGCTTCTGTAAGGAAAGCTTATTTTTCTCAGGGATGTTCCTTCTTTCTTAAATACTGTTAGACATTCTTCCTCTTGGACTGGCACCCTTTCCTGTGTGTTTTTGTATCTCACATAAAAAGTTCCAGTCAAAGTTTTCTAAGTACGAATGAGTGTTATATTAGTTGTCAAGAGACAAAAAATATGAGGCAGCAAATTTTGGAGGCAGTGAGCACACAAAGCAGTATTCACAAGCCCCTCTCCTTCCCCTCCCAGCCTTTAAGTAATTTCTCACAGGAGATTTAATCTCCTCTTTATGAGGTACAAAGTCCTGTGGTTTTGCTTTGCCTTTTTTCCCCCTAAAGGCAAATCTTTTGGTGAGGAAAAGGACAAATGAACATAAGGAATTTGGGTAAAATAAAAAGTAGGAGAAAGACTTTGATCAGAAGGTATGAATTCTGAGCACTGTAGTTAGTTGTCTCTGGTGGTACCCATAAACTGTAAATTTAACAGCTATGAAGAACAGTTATGCTCATTACCTTAATGAGCCTAAGGTGATGTATGTCCAAGAAATTAATTAATTTAACACATTAATGTGCTGTACAAGAAATGTCTCACTATTCGTTTTCCACAATTAGAAGAAAAGCACTCATGTAAAACTATTTTAGGATTCTATACTAATTGAATTATTGACATATCAGGAAACTAAGGAAAGTATGTCACACCAACACATCAGTACTAGTTTCTTATATTAGCAATATAAATCCACTTCTTAGATATAACAGGTTAAAATACACTTGATTTACTTTCTCTTCTTACTATAATTTTTGTTGTGCCAGAATTTTAGCCTAAGTAAATAGAAAGTTGTAGTCACCTGGTTATATCCCAGTAGTCACTGCAAGAAAAGGAAACTCAGAGTGTCAAGTAGGAGATGAATTGGATTTTATTAATGAAAGGAAGTTGTGAGACCATTACTGTATCATTTGTCACCAGTAAACAATGTTTTTAATCATTTTCCTAGCAATACAGAGAAACAGGCGAGGGCTTGTGTTTCTCTTTCTGTTTCTCATTCCAAAATCACATAAGACTTTTATATAGGAAAAATAAATACGAGGCAGTATTTAAAATTCACATCATAGCAATTCGCCCTTATTCGTTTATAAAAACATTTCTAGAGAGGACAAATAACCTCTGTGCTATTGTTTGGCTTACTTATTTACCATGTAAATACATAATGAGGGATTTGCTTTCTGTTTACATGCTGATTGTAAGTACATCTTGGAATGTGGTTGTTATTTCAGGTTACCTGAGGACATCAGAAAGATTAGTTGAGGTGGTGAAAGGCCAATCATGCTTCGAGGCTGGGGGCCAGAAGAGGAAATGAAGTAGTCAGTTGACAGAGAGTTTAGTTAGACATGATCTGAGAGTTCCCATGGGTAAAGCAATACTGTTCAGTGGAATGCAGATACATCTCATGTCATGAATTTGCAAAGTACAGTGTTTACATTTTGAACAATTTCTGAATGCAAGCTTCAGCATAAAACATTTGAAGTACAATTTAAAACAATCTTGTTTGCACTGTAGTTGGGACCCTATCAAGTAGACATAATGGTTTCGAAGCATAGTTTTCATCCTTTGTATTTATATTATATATATAATATTAAGATCATTTTAACGTTGCTCTTGGTCTATTTTAGGTTTTGAATATGTGAGTAAGTGCACAGCTCATTCTGGGTTTGTTCTCTTTGCCCTGGCAGCGTTTCTACAAGAAAGCAGCGGCCTTTGTGCTGCGAGCAGTCGGCAAGCACTCGCCTCAGCTGGCGCAGGCCATTGTGGACTGCGGAGCGCTGGACACGCTGGTGATCTGCCTGGAAGATTTCGACCCTGGAGTCAAAGAGGCTGCAGCCTGGGCCCTGGGATACATTGCAAGACATAATGCAGGTACTGGAGCATATTTGAAAAATAGGATGATTCAAGCTTCGATTCATTAGCTGTCAGATGTTTGCCTAATACATCATGGGTGAGGGTTCTATAGATTGTAAGAGATTAGTTTTGAATGTCAGCCAAGTTGTTTGCATTGCACATTTGCAAAATATTTATACATGCCAATTTTTTTCTTAGCCAAGGGAAGTTTGAGGAGGGAGAAGGGGAGTTGGGTTGGTTCTCAAAGGCCTTGCTGGCCAGGCATGGTGGCATTGTAATCCTAGCACTCAGGAATCGGAAGCAGGAGGATCATAAATATGTGGCCAGCTTGGGCCTCATAGAGTTCCTGTCACAGACAAACAGTCAATGCCAACAAACAGACTTAGTGAAATTTATTGTGGCTGAAAGGGTCACTGGGTTCTCCCTGTCATTCATGATAGGGTGTGCCAAGTCAGGAGCCATGCCACGTGACTGAGACTGGGGGAGGGAAAAGAAATGGACATGACTTGGTAGAAAATGTTTGTACTCAGCGCGTGTTGGAAAGAAAGGAGGAGGAAGCAAATCAATAGGAGTTACCTTCTCCTCCAGCCTGACTTCTTAGTATAAAGTAAGTCATCAAGGATGGCCAGGGCCTCTTGGAAGAAATCTGTGTGAACACATTTGATTGATAAACCATACACAAGGAGCTGTGTAGTCACTACCACTTTGTAGACATTCTTAAGATCAAGTGACATACAATGAAAACACAGTGTTTGGCAAACGTAAATGACCAACTTTGCTAGTAGTAAACAAACAGCACATTGAAAACATTTGGAGGGTCTTCCTCCATCTGCTGATTGGAGGGGAGAAGGAACAAAGCAGCACTGTGGCCATGTGGTTTGGACTGCGGTGGCTTTCGGCAGGATCTGAGTTTGAGTCCATGTACTACCACTTAGCAGCTGAGACACTCTGGACAGGGGTTTTGAACTTTTTGAACTGTCATCTTCTCATCTGCAACAGGGTTGATAGTAGTTACTTCAGAGATTTGTTGTGAGGATAATGAAGTAATATATGTACAGTACTTAGCAAATACTCAGGTATTTGCTAAGGTATTAATATAGTACTGAATATTAAAAGTATTTGGCTGGAGTTGTAGCCTGTAATCATTACTATAGAAGTGGCAGGATCATGAGTTTGAGGCCCTCCTAGACAACATAGTAATGCCCTATCTCAAATAATAGTAAAATAAAATAATATTTATGACATTGGAGAATGAACTACAAATTATATAAACACATAGAAAGGAGTTTGACGAAACTAATGTAAGTCATGGAAAAGCTTATGCTTGTCTTAAAAAGGCTGCCTTGGAAATTCATACTAAGGGGGCTGGGAAGGTGGCTCGGTGGTAGAGTGCTTGCCTTGCATGCATGAGGCCCTGGGTTCGATTCCCCAGCACCACATAAGCAAAAAAGAAAAGAAAAAAAGAAAGAAATTCATCCTAAGAAAAAAAAAATCTCACAGAATGAAAATGTCACTGTAATGTTTTAATATTAAAACACCTTAAATATGTGATGTAAATTTACTGGTTAAATTATAGTAATCCACTTAATAGAATCTCATGCAGCAAAGCAAAAGGATAATTATGATCCCTATGTGGTAACATGGAAAGGTAATTATAATGTTAAAAAGGATAAATTGTATATTACGGTTATGCTCTAATGAGTTTTTATGTGGACATAAATTAGAAAGTAAAACATATTTGTATTACTAAGGTACTAAACTAAAAGATATTTTCCTTCACTTCCATATTTTTTGGTGCATAAAATTATAGCTACTGTGTATTGAGTAATTATTATGTGTCTGAATTTGTGAATGTGTAATGTGTTTCAGATGCATTATCTAATTTTGATTGCAGTTACCCTTGGGTATTATTCTTTCAAGAATGAAGAAAGAAAGGGTAACTTAGAATGACTAAAGTTGCGTAAATCTTAGAATCAGAATTTGAGTCTAAATCTGTCTGACTCCCAAGCTCAGATTAGCTCCTATTCCTTACTGCCCCACTAAATGCTTCCTGAAAGAATATGCAAGAGAACCTTACACACAGAAACAGGGAGAAGCTCTGCCATAGGTATATTTAATTTTTTTTCTTAAAATTGTGCCAAAATAGAAATAAAGCAATAGGAAACTAAGCTGGGAAAGGAAACTGTGACAGTACTTAGAATGATTCAAAATGAATATGTTAAAATTCCATTATATCTAGTTTCCTTTTCACATAGGTTCACTTTAAGACATTTTGTCAACCCATGTTGAGGGAGAAATCTAAGGCAGTGTTTTAAGTTAGAAGCTAGATGTCTACCTGAGTGGATTTAGTTAAGGTTTTGGTAGGTCAGAGGGACATGTTACAGACTGTGACATGAGTATTTCAGAGTGACGCAAAAAAGCTTTGAGGGACAGCAGTACAGATAAGTAAGTATATCGGGCAGCTGCCCCCAGATAACCATTTCATTCCCCCCACCTTGAAATTATGATAGTTCATAAATAGGATCTGACGTAGGGGTCCCATTCCAATTTCTTACTATAATCTAACTCCCACATGGAATTCCCAGTGTAATTTCAATATTTCACAGCAGTTAGGGGCCTGGGACTCAGAAGTTCCCAGAAGAGATTACTGCATAGATTTCTCAGAAAGAAAGGGAATTGATTTGGAGCAGGCCTGAGAAGTCCTCATTCTCATGCAAACTAGTGCAAGAAGAGAATTTACCTCCAAATAACCCAATTTAGTTCTCAATGATTTCCTAAAAGTGATATCTATCTATCTATCTATATCTATGTATCTATCTATGTATCTATCTATGTATTGATGTATCTATGTATCTATCTATCTATCCATCTATCCATCTATCAGTTAACAGGAAGACATTCATTCAGTTTTTTAAAAAAATATTAGTGGTATAATGATTATTACCTTCAGAAATGTTTAGATTTTTTTTGTCGGTTATGGGGCTTGAACTCTGGGCCTGGGTGCTGTACCTCAACTTTTCAGCTCAAGGCTAGTGCTCTACCACTTGAGCCACAGAGCCACTTCCAGCTTTTACTGCTTATGTGATACCGAGGAATTGAACTCAGGGTGGTCTCATGCATGCAAGGCAAGCACTCTACCACTGAGCCACCTTCCCAGCCCAGAAATGTTTAGATCTTAAATGTTTACATCATAAATCTATTGTCTTTAAACAATATTTAATGGTAATCAAAGGAAAGGTAATCAAAGGAATTATGGAGGGGCTGGGAAGGTGGCTCAGTGGTAGAGCGCTTGCCTTGCATGCCTGAGGTCCTGGGTTCGATTCCTCAGCACCACATAAGCAAAAAGAAAAAAAGCCGGAAGTGGAGCTGTGGCTCAAGTGGTAGAGTGCTAGCCTAGAGCTGAAGAGCTGAGGGACAGCGCCCAGGCCCAGAGTTCAGGCCCCACAACCGGACCCCCCCCAAAAATCAAAGGAATTATGGAAAGTAAAAAGTAAAATGAGCTCCCAATAGCAGAAAAGAGACACAAATTGGCATTATTTGATTTTTGCTTATTTGAAAACTACAATTTCTACAAGTTGCTTCTACATATAGATTTCATACATTTACCATCAATCATAGAGAAAGGGTGCTGACAACTAGAAATGGTGTTTGTTTGTAGACACAGAGATGTCTACAAATTATACCATTAAATTTTTATGGTTGAATAACCAGTTACTGAATGCACATATTATTTACCTCTCATTTTGAAGAGAAGTAAGCTATTTCTTTGTATTTTTTCCTGCTCTTACTAAAGGCTAGGGTAGAAACCTCAGATTGGTTGTCTCCCTGCTACTCTTGCCAAATCTGCATAATTATTCTGTTGATACATCTATTTACCTAACCGAAGTCAAATCTCACACAGTTTCCAAGAGCTGAAGCTTTCCAAGGTTATGGAGCGAGGTATAGTGGACAGAAGAATTGTGAGACTGTGGGGCTTCTTTGCTGCTGGCACAGCCCTGGCCGGGGCACAGGGAGGAGCTTCAGGAGTCCACAAGCCCTCCTTCCCTGTTGCCTCTCGGCAGCCTGTCCCACGCCTGAAGCAGCACCAGTGGCTGCCAGTGGCTTTCAGGACAGGTGCTGGCCACAATTAGGAGGAGGGACTGGGTGGAATCAAGTGCCTGAATGAAGTGTTCTATGCAAATGACTTTTCCACATTTGGACTCAAAAGTTGTTTTTCTTGGGAACCTTAGCTGGCAGTACACTGGTTGATAGCAAATCTGGCAAAAAGGAGTACATTTGCTATCTTTACAAATACTAAATTACTGATAGGTGTCATATTCTAGATATGTGTGTAGATCCTAGGCCTGGGCACTGTCCCTGAACTTTTTTTGCTGAAGGCTAGCACTCTACCACTTGAGCCACAGCTCCATTTCCATCATTTTTGGTAGTTAATTGGAGACACATGTCTCAGGGACTTTCCTGCCCCGGCTGGCTTTGAATTTCAGTCCACACATCTCAGCCTCCCGAGTAGCCCTGATTATGGGTGTGAGCTGCTGGCACCCAGCCCAATGTGAGTTTTAACCTCAGTGTTTTGTTTTTGTTTCCCCTCTCCTTTGCCAGTTCTTACAGAGAATTCCATGAGAAGACCATCCAGTCTTCCAATTGTTTCTTGAAGTCAGAGACTTTCCTAACTAGTACTGGGTTGGAGCAAAAATGATTATCAGTAATAAACAGTGTACTTCCCATATTGTATGTGTGTGTGTGTGTGTGTGTGTGTGTTGCAAATCTGGAGGTAGAGTAAAACTAAATTACAGTTGCAAGGCTCTGTAAAACAAGTGGAAAAAATTCTGGATATGAAAAGTATATTTTATGAAGTCTGATTCTGAATCTATCTGTAGCTTTGCTTTTTCGGTCTAGTTTCAGTTGTTAAAAGTCAGATGCTAAGGGGCCTGGAGGTGTGGTTCAGGTGGTAGAGCACTTGCCTAGCAAGCACAAAGAACTAAGTTCAAACTTTCATATACAGAGAGAGGGAGAAATGG